ATATATACCACACAGTACAATTGTGTATTCACACATACCATCGCTCCTCCCACTACGTAGTTGTACGTGTGCATATGCTTCAGGAACGCTTTGAATCGCTCATGGTAAGGTGTGCTGTGGGTCTGATCCATCTCGTAGGTGACGGAGTACAGAGCATTGAAGGCGTCCATCCCCACACATCTCTGGAAACACGTGCCTGTGAGTTGGCCCAGTTTGCGTTGCATCTTGTTTTGCTTTACCATGTCATCAACACTTGTACAAACGGATAAGAACCGTGACACTGCACAGAGAGACGTGGTAGTGGATTAGTGTGGGACAGACACAGGCAAGGTAGTAGTACATACATGCAGGGATATAAGCTGTGTAAAGGGACACAGGAAAGGTAGAAGTAAATACATGCAGGCTGTTTCTACCTACCCTTCTCTAATACAAACCCTTTGTATTGCAGTGAAACATCTATAGTGAAGTAGGCTAAATGCACACACACACATACACACGTCCACCCGTGATGCGATCCCTCTATCAAAGGAACTCGTATTTGAAGATATATACTCGCCTGCCCTTGTCTATATAAACAACACATTCAAACGCTATTTCAATACAACAGACTGACCCATCTAATAAAGTCTATACACCCATCCCATGATCTTACCTCGTTCCCCCGTGAATGGTGACACCACCGATCCAAGCAACGGCTCCTTGACGGCCAGATCATATGTCTTAGCAACCGCATTGACCGAAGGTCTGATCATCGGGTGATCAACTGGTTCACTAACCTCCTCTCCAAACAAGTACACCACCAGCTTGCGTCCTCTCAACGAGTCGACATATTCCTTCCCCGTGTTGATTTTCCTTTCCCCGTCTGAAGCCCCATCTACAGTCACGCTCATGTTGATATCCGCGGTTGAGCTTGTGTTTGATGCGGTTGAGTATACCATGCGCCACGGAGAGCGGGTTAGATGCCTGCCTTCCCAAACCTTCTGGAGTACCCGTCCATAGACCACAGGCGTTCGCCCTGAGCACACTGGCAGGATCAGTTGCATTGTGTGATGAGAGGTTGGTGAATGGGGTGTCTGGCTACGTCAAACAAAGATGTGCGTTGTATTTATTTACATTTGCGTTGTATACAGTAGGCTATGGCTTTATATATACGGGCTCTTGGTATTTTTTAGGAGTAGCCTGACATACCAGAATGTTGCCGTACCCATGACGTAGTATGACGTATACCGTGACGTAATCTATATTTGTTTCAATTGAGCTTCCGTCCTTTGTCCGGAATCAGGACAGAGGACTACAGGGAAGTCAAGCAGAATCCAGTCTCCATAGTCCATACATAACAGGGGGCAGGCCGGCAGGGGTTCGGTTCATACCTATATGTATCAGCTATTACAGAAGTAACGTAAAGTGTAAAGTTCTTGAGTACTATAATAGAGCTACAGTCCTTTGTCCTGAATATGCTCAATCAGGACAGACGACTACGGGGTAGTCCAGGCTATTAGTACCAGAGGATCTCTGAGGCTAATGATGGAATGTGCAAGCCAGTGCAAGGCCATCCTGTGTCACTGTTCCGCCCCTACTTCTGTTCGGCGACGTATGTTGGAGGAGACAGGACTACATTGACAATCGCTCAATAGTCAACCTGTTTTTAAGATGCAAGGGTATAGAATGCCTATGTCTCGTTGCAGCATTCATATAAATATAACCTTTGTTATAACCTTTGTTATACAAATTATATTAAAATAATAAAACCTGTGTACAGCAAACAGTACTATCAACCTATTTTTAAGATGCAAGGACATAGAACGCCCATGTCCCTTTGCATCATTCTTATAAATAGAACCTTTGTTATACAAAGTGTATTAAAAAAGAGTACCCGTGCTTTGTACAGCAAATCAGTATAACAGCACACACATCCGTTGAGAAACAAATCAACTATTAAATAAGAGGCTTGTGGCATTTGACTTCAAGGTTGAAGTATAGCCGCGGAAGGACTTATAGTAAGTGTAGGAGCCACGAGGCGTGTTTGTAGTGGGATATCCTACAGGCGTGGATACTAGTATCTCCCGCGTGTGTTGTTTTGGTATAGTATCGCCTAATTTTGTTGAAGGTGAGTTAGGGTTTAAGTACGGTATGAGTTTTATTGAGACAGGCACTACATATGACTCGTGTTGTTGCAAGGTATTCTGCGCGCGTGTGCGTGTACACACATATGTATGTATGTATGTATGTGTGTGTGTTGGTTTTTTCTCTCTTCCACGTACACACGTGTATGAGTGTGATGTTACCTGGGCGTGTAGACTGAGTGTATCGCTTCATTTCGAGATATATACAGAAGGCGGGTCTATATACTCCCGGGCATGCATGTAATCAGATCACATGTGTGGACGGGTAGCCGTGAGAGTGTGTCATGTTCGGAACATGTGCAATGAAAGATATGTGCATGTACAAGGTAGTGTGACTAGGGTTTATGCCAACATCATACGTGATGTGCGGCTGAAGGGGCTTGCACGTGCTATCCGCGAGAAGTGAATAGTATTGACTGTTTGATAACTACAGTGGCGTATACAAGCTAACGTACATGTTTACATATGCATTCATGCGCGTGTGCATATATAACCCATCTGTTTGTGGGTGTCCACAATCTTGGAGACAGAAAGCGCCTTTGGTGGTGTGTCCTAATACAAAGTGATGGCAACCTTTTGTTCTCAAAGTGTCTGGGATGGGTTTGTTGGCGTACTTAAACATTCGATATGTCAGAGTATGTGAGCCTCTCGGTTCGCTTCGCTCTGCGGAAATACGTTGTACCTGTACCTGTACTTTTTGAACATACTCTGC